CCGAAGACCCTTCAGGGACGACGGGGTCGGGGGCGGCGCGGCTCCGCTGTCCTCCGCCATCTTCGGCCGCCTGAGGACGGAAAGGGGTGGGGTGGGGTCGGGGTGGAAGCAGCCCCCGTTCCCGCCCGCTTCTTCTCCCCCCCCTTCCTCTTCCTCCTCCGCCGCCGCCGCCGCCTCAGGAGTCACTCCCCGTCTTTCCCTCACACCGGCGCGGGCGAGCGCAGAACCGCCAAACGCGGCAGAGGGGAGGAGGCGCACTGCGCATGCTCCGGGAGACGAAGCCCCCCCCACCTTCCCTCTAGGCACCTCGCGCGCTCAGTTTGCCCGCCCGGCCGGCCGGCTGGCAGGGCAACTGCGCATGCGCACCTCCCCTCGGCTTCCCCTCTTTCCACCTCGCGGCGCCGCCTCAAGGAAGGAAGGGGGAGGCGCGGAAGGAGGGAGGGAGGAGGGGCGACGGGAGCGCGCCTTTGGCTCCGCCCCCTCCTGTCGCCTCGGCTCTGTTGCCCGCGAGGCTCCGCGCAGCCGCTTTGAGGGGCGTCCTCTCGCCCACCTTTGGCAGCGTGACCGTTCTACCCCGCGCACTCTCTGTCTCTCTCTCACACACAAAACCTGCCTTGCACAGTCGTGGGTTCGAATCCCCCTTTCTCCGTAATTCACGCCAGTAATTAATTAACTGGCACTCTTTCGTACAGACCACACTTCAAGTCCAATATTTTCTAGGCATGTTTTGCTTGGCTGCAAATCAGTGGAAGTCATATCAAGGAAAATTTGATAAATATTTTTGATAAATATTTTTGTACACACACACACACACACACACACACAGAGAGAGAGAGTGAGAGAGAGAGAGAGAGAGAGTGCATGCACTATTCTGGGCAATAATAATAATAATTGTCATATCAAGGAACATTTGATAAATATTTTTGCACACACACACACAGAGAGAGAGAGTGAGAGAGAGAGAGAGAGAGAGTGCATGCACTATTCTGGGCAATTTACAGCAAAATAACACAATACGAAACACATAATCAATGACATAAACTCAAGTTTTGTAAGTTAAGAATTTACATGCTCAACATGAAGCATATGAAAAATCAAGGCTGGTACCTGAAAAAGGTCTCTCTGAAAAACAATGTTTTCAGGCGCCTTTTGAATCCTAGAAACACTAATTGGAATAATCTTGGAACAATGCTTTTAATTATTATTGTACTCTATTCAGAAAGCTATTATTTACATTTTTAAGATGCATTTTAGAAAAAAAAAGCCAACTTGTACCAGATAAGTACATTTTTTTGGTAAAAACTCAGATTTTTAGTCCCAATGAGATGCATCTATTGAATTCATGAGGCAACTGTAGGTGGCACTGTCAACTGGATTTAGTGTTGTATGTATAAAGTAAAATTAAACATCCAATTAAGAACTGCAAATCTTTAAAAGAGATAGTCTACTGTATTGGGCTAACACCACTACCTAAAAAAATGATCTGATTTTTACTAACAAAACTAATAGGATTTGAGAAAGCTGATGAGAAAATAAATGACAAACGGAGGCATCTATACTTTTGGGCACACCATGAGAAGGACAAAAGTCTGAAAAGACAATAGTGGTAGGAAAATGTGAAAGAATCAGGAAAAGAAGAAGACACAATGTGAGGTGGGTTGACTCAATAAATGAAGCCATGGGGCTGAATTTTCAAGAACTGAACAGGGCAGATGAAGACTGGACATTTTGGAGATCATTCATTCATAGGGTTGCCATAGATAAGAAGCAACATCACGGCCTATGACAAGACCAAAAGCAGTGTTATGCATCAGGATGTGGGGTATAGATTAGATCAAGCAGAAGCTGACATGACTCAAACTGAGGTTTTTGCACCCGAGTCATGAGGAAACAAGACCAAGTGGGGGGAAAAGAGTAATGCAAGGAAAAGTAGAAGGCGGTAGAATATGAGGAAGAGCTAAGATGAGATGGATCAAATTAATAATGGAACCCACAGCCCTGAGTTTTCAAGACCTCAGCAGGGCTGTTAACAAATGGACTCATTCACAAGGATTTCATAAGTCGGAAGCAAATGATCAAAAAGTGTGTTCAATCCTATTTGTACAGTATTTTGATTTTAAACAACACCTTGTCAAAGGGAGGAAGAAGACATGACGTCTTGAAAGAAAGAAAATCAACAGCTGAATGATTGAATTATTCCCAGCACATGTAAACGAATCTCCGAAAGGCCGTGCACATTCGCATTTTAAAAAATATGTATCTAATTGAGCTTTTGATTGTGGAGCTGTTAAACAGAGTGGGGGACAGATGCTGATTAAGAGTGAGGGGGACTTAATTGGTTTTCTGTGTCTGTAGCTCATCAGACAGACTTTGACAAAATCCTGCTCTTGAATTCTTACAATTTCTTCCCATTTTCCATCAAGAGCCCATCATTATTACCATAATGCAATCATAACCAAATTGAGCATCATTTGGTAGAAGAAGATACATGATGTGGCAGTCAGCATCCGTTTTTAATGGAGTTTTGGTGAAGGGAGGCATTCAACTAGAGACATTTCATAGCTATTTCTGCACCATGACACAACAGTGTACCATTACCGAGACCTTTCCTACTGTGATGGGAGGGGTCTTTTTCATTTTAAGAAGCCATCAGTGGTGGACCTACATTTTTGGAGCCTTGAAAATTGAACTATTATGTGGGGCCCCTTTTGCAACCAGCAATGAAGTCTTGGTAACCACTGTAGTTTTCTTTGGTGGGGTAGTTCTACAACAGATCACCAACTTTTTTTTAAAATGTGGACTAAATTCACTTCTGGGGCCCCTCTGGAATTAGGATCCTGAAGCTTAATCTTCATTAGTTTCATTGTTGATCTGCCCTGGGAAACTTTTCTTTTAAATGTTTGCTTCTCAAAAGTAATTAAGTTTCAACCTGTACCAGACCCATTGATTTTTTGCAATGATTTTAAAAATTCGTTTGGAAACAACCTCTTTGCAACAGGATTTATTTCTTTTAATGGAACAGACACATTTTTTAAAAAAAGCTCTGTGTTCCCTGTAAAAAATTGGTGTACAAAACGGAGAGGCGCAAATTTTCCTAGCCCCCCTGTTAGATCACTAGGGCATCGGATGTTTAATAATTAAAAGGCACAGGAGCAGATAGGAAAAAAGTTGGCAAGTAAAATTTTATTCAGAAGTTGACTGACTGCTCTCGGTGGCCCCCCCATCCATGGACACCCCCCCTGCCAGGCCTGAGCAAGTGGATCTCAGCCTCTTGCAGCTGATTTTCCTGTTTTGACCAGGAACGTTACCGCGGTTCTCTCTCCAGAAACCTGCAAAAACACATATTCTGCCTGCCCAAAGATCACAAATATAATCTTATAAATATAAGCCATTTTACTCCCTGCCAACAGATGAGCAGAGCAGGAGGATGTGAACCCAGCAGAAGCTGATGTGGGAACTTCTCCCAAAAGTTAAGACTGTGCGTTGCTTGTGTTCTGCTCTCGGGAAGATGGCCCCGGCGCTAAAAGACTCCACTGTTGTTTTTGTTTCCCTCCTTCAAAGAAGCGCCTTTGTTTGCCTGCTTCACAGGCTTATTCTTTCCTCCGTTGGCATAAAGGTCCTCTTGTTACCACGATGCCCAGAGCTCAGTTGCTCTTTCCGACTACAAGTCCCAGAATCCACAAGCCAACATGTGGAAAGTGCCGTCCTCCTAGCTAACTAACGCTACTGGTTTTAGACATGTGCCTTGATAGGATTATCAGGCGTTTCCCTCCAAGATCCATGTTTCTAAGCAGCATAAATTTCGGCTTTGGCCCTGTCCTCCAAACCGTATTTTAAGAGTTCTGATTCAAGGAATCTTGATTTCCAGATGTCCACGAGAGTGAATGTCCCATTTCCGATGCCATTTTGAAAGCAACTTAACCTGAGCGGAAATTCGAATTCAGATTTGGCGGCATGTGTTCAAAAGGCAGAATCACTCACATGCATCAAAATTTTAGAATTCTGCCAATGCGACACAACCTCAGCCCAGACCGCTTGGTGGAACTGCGAATCAAGGTTGCTGGCAAGTCTTTGGTATAAATCAAATAAATAAATAAATAAAATAAAAATTAGTCCCAAGCCTGAGTCTTTGATACCAAACCCCAAGTCTATTAAAAACCAGCCTTTTTTTCTGCTGAAAAAAAGAGAGAGAGAGGGGTGGGTGGGTTAAAGTTGTGAGTCAAGTCTGTGTCCTTTAAAAAAAAATCCAGAGTTGCGTTGTCAGTGCAACATTAGTCCGATTTGACTGCAAGTCCGGTGATTTGACTCCCAATCCCTGCTGTCCTTTTACAGTCCAGAGAGTTGGACATCTACTGCGGATGCATGCGCTGCGTCAGAAAAACACCCTGACCAGCTGAATCCTTAATTCAGGGTAAACGATCTAGGTCCCTTCATTTGGCAGACAGGTGAGATATAAATAAATTAGCAAATAAAGTGAATGAATGAATGAATGAATGAATGAATGAATGAATGAATGAATGAATGAATGAATGAATGAATGAATGAATGACCACGGTTGGCCCACGCAGGAATGAATGAATGAATGGGGCATAGCTAGGTGATGATTTCTGCTCTGTGGCTTGCTTTTCACTGCCTCTCTCCCCTGGCAGATGATTGTTGTGGAGCTGGTGGTGTCCTTTGTCGCAGAGATGTGCCAGCGAGAGCAGCTGCATCTTAGTGGACTGGGTGGCGAAAGGGCCGCTGCGTCTCCACCCCCTTCGGATCTCCTGTTTCCGGCTTTGCTACCAGCATGAGCACTTGGGGAGGGGGGGAAGGTGCAGCGAGCCCCTAGCTGTTGTTTAGCCGTTAAGCCGTGTCCAACTCTTCGTGACCCCATGGACCAGAGCACGCCAGGCCCTCCTGTCTTCCACTGCCTCCTGGAGTTGGGTCAAATTCATGTTGGTCACTGCAATGACACTGTCCATCCATCTTGTCCTCTTCTCCTCTTGCCCTCACACTTTCCCAACATCAGGGTCTTTTCCAGGGAGTTTTCTCTTCTCAGCCCCTAGCTAGCCTGCAAT